CATGGAAAATTGTAGTTTAAATTTTAAAAATCCTGTGCTTATTGGCCTTGAAGGGCAACAGAAATGGGAAAGTCTGATGAAAAAACAGTAAAAACCATACCTTGTTTATGCACAGTTAACTGAGGTTGATTTAGGGACCTACCTACTCTCTACCCTTCAAGATATATCTAGCATTAGCAAAAAGTTATTTATCAGAGTTAATGTAAATAAAGCCTATCCCTTTAAGAACTAAAGCTTAAAAAATAAATAAGACATACCTTCCCTTATCCCTGCTTTCTTAAAGAGATAACCAAACATAAGTTTTACTCTTTTCATTAGGGTCTAGAGGATCAACACTAATAAAGATATATTTGCTGTGCAAGTAACAATTCTACCTTCTTTTCCTGTTACTTGCCAAATGTAATTTTACATTTCTTCTGTTATTATTTCTGCCTCTGATGAATCCTTTTATCCCCGTCATTTGAGTTTGAAGCTTCCAATCTTCTTGTGGACAGATGAGCTTGTTGAAAGCTAACGTTGAGCACATAAGGCTTTGAGTAAAAATCTAAAGAGTAAAGTACAGGGTTTCCCTGTATGGTTCTAGATGGTGGCTTTTAGATCTATTGAGTAATGTTTCTGGCTTACTTCATGGATTGCAAAGGATCAGCCTACTAGAAATCTGACTTCGGGTAAGTAAGTTATCACCATACTAGCACAAAAAAGAGAAAGCAGTACAAATCATTTATTCAAAAGAAAAAAAATGAGTGGAAATGCAATGACTGATGACCTCAACGTTTGAGTTCCAACTATTTATATATTTATACTTTAACACAAATTACCTAGGCAGCTCTGCTCCCTTGTGAGTTGAGACTTTAGATATGAAAGCTTTCATGCTCTCTGAGACTTGAGTTAAGTCATAGTTCTGCTCCTTCTCTTCCTTGGAAATGGGCTCTGATTCTTTTTTGCCAGCAGCTTCCTGCAGTAGCTGGTCCAGCTGATCTGGTGAGAGATCTAACCACTGGTCGTCTGAAAAAGGAGAAAGCATGATATTGCCATTCTACAGTCACATGACTACTCTTGCGAAAGGGCCCTGTGAGACTTAGTGGAATGTTTTAATTCTTTTTAATCTTTCTGCTCTATCCTGGTCCCTCACTTACCATCCTCTGGGGGAAGATTAGCCTCTTCTTTCTTAAGCTCTTCTATATCAAGTGGTATTGTCTGTAATAAGGTTAAGATTTCTTCACCTGGACTCATGGCAAGAGAACTATAAAAAATAAAAGACATGATTACTTCTTTATAAGAGAACCCAGAAGAGTAATTGTAAAGACACAGCATTTTGAACCTGGAAGGGATTAGCTAGTCTAATTTGGTTTTTTGTTTGTTTTTCTGTTTAGAGACAAGGTCTAGCAATGTTGCCCAGGCTGGCCTCAAACTCCTGGGCTCAACCAATCTTCCTGCCTCAGCCTCGTGAGTAGCTAGGACTATAGGCATGTGCCACTGTGCCTGGTTCTAATTTGTTTTTAAACATTTTTTTAGGTTGCAGACCCCTTTTTCTCAAATAAAATTTTACCAGGAACTTTAAAAAATACAACAGCTCGAAGAAAAATGGCTTTGATTAAAACGGAGGATGCAGGCTCAGAAACCTACCCATTTTGCCTTCCCCTTTGGCTCTGCAACAGGCTCTATGGAACACCGTTATGAAACTACTGATCCAGTACAACTCTTTCAATTTATATATATTTTTCATATGAGGAAAAGAAGACCCAGAAGGAAAGTATGAATTAAAATTAATCTAGCATATATTATATGATATGCTAGCATTTTAAATACATTTTCTTATTTATTCCTCTAATTATTAATACCATTATGAGACGGTAATAAGTCTGTTTTACAGATGAGAAAACCAGAGTCCAGAGAAGTTCTATAAATTCTGCAAGGTCATTTAGTTGGACAGAACAAAGGCTTGAAATCAAGTCTCCTGCTACTATTTTGTGCTGTTCCTACTGTAAACTGATGAGGAAATATACACAGAGATTATTTATATGATGATTGAGTTATTCTATGATAGTGACATGACTTATTACATAAATTGATGGAACTCCATCTGAACAATTAAGAATGGAGCAACTCAAGTTGTATAAAGGACTTACATTAATTTAATAAATATTTGCATCCCTTGCAAAATCATGTGGGTGATGGGAAATTGTCCCTACTCCATATTATGAAAATATTATTAGGAAAGAGAAAAGAAATACCCAAATAATCATAGCAAAAGGCAAAATAAAAGTCATTCTAAAATATCAAATGCTAGAGAGAAGGTAATTACTTTCATTGAGATGAGGGCAGAGAAGTTAAAAAAAGAGAAATAATGGAAGGCTTCAGGGAGGAGGTATTTGAGTTAGGTTATAATGAATATGGAGGATTTTTTTTTTAAATGCACAAGGATATTTACTGCAACACTGTTATATCAACAAAGTCAAATGTTCCTATGTAGGGAAGTGATTAATTAAATTACAGCATATTCTGGGAATACAATTTAGCTGTATATTTTTAATACAGCAAATCTATTTTGTAATGACTAAGAAAGCTTTTCAAGTCATACTAAGTAAAAAAAATTG